ATGCACTAAATGCAAAGTTTGAAACTGCTGCTCAATCACACTTCTCATACAGAACAGTAAAAACACACATTGGTCACAGGATCTCAGTATAAAAGACCAGAGGCAAACCTCAACCCCAGCTGCTGCCAGTAGCCACCGAATCGTTTCCATCCGGCCTCGTCCATTGAAGTAGTGCAGCTTGGGTTTTCCAGACATGTTTCCTCGTGCCAGATTTCCTAGTATCTGCAATGAAGAAATAACTTTTGCAGTTGTGAGTCTGCAACTGGCTCTTGAAATAGTCTGTTTGAAATCTATTATTGTCCAGGACTTTAATCAATTAACAGAGGAGGTAAAAGTTAGACTATATTGAGAGAATGCCTTTTATCGTTCTGCCTAAAAAATGCTTCTTACACATGCAGAATAGTTAAGTAGAACCCTGTACAATTAGAGGAATATGCCTAGTCAGAGAATCAGTGAATCAAAATCATTTGCATCCAAAGTGTTCTGTTCTGACCAAAAAGCAGAGGGTGCTCTCTGTGTATTTTGGCATGATTTCAAATTACAGTTTACTGTTTAATCAGATACATGCTATAAACTCAGCAATTGCTGTGCTTTCTCCAGCAGCCACTATGCTCCATTAAAACCGGCCAGGAAGGAATTCTTTCACCCTGGCAACCTCTTTTACAGCACTTCCTGCTTCTGTAATTTCTTTAGAGAAGCCTTCAAAGACATGAAAATTGATTTTGTCACAGCAACATCAGATTTGCCTTTACCACAGGCATAACCACAGGGCAATGCTTGCCTGGTCCAGTTCCAACTCTGCTGGAATTTCAAGCAACAGCAGTTCCTAGGAAGCAACTTAAAGCAGCCACAGTTTCTCGGCAGGCTGTCAGCCACTCCACTCAGACCCACACGTGCACAACAGCAACAAGCACACACAAACAGTGCCCAGCCTATGCCAGCCTCACGGCATTGATGCACTGTCAGCAACAAAGCTGAAGCATTAACAGCAGCAAAGGGAAAATGCCCAAACCCCCACCATACTCCCCTTGCAAAGAACATGCCAGCTTCTTGATGGTACGAAGAAGGAGGTGAGAGGAGCCACTCCCCAGTTGTGATCTACATTTCATTTTCTTACCTCTGTATACCTCGAAAACAGCTGATTAAGAATTTAATATTTGGTACACACAACCATATTAGTAAAGAAAGTACGTACACACATTTAATCTATAAAATCCATTCACTTACTGAGTTTCGTTTACTACAATTCCTGGCATTTTTAGTGAAGAACACAGAAAAAACACACTTACAGGGTGCACAGTGTAACTCACTCTAAGCTCTCAGCAGTTCTGCCTTGAGATTATATAACTCTGTAGCCCCTCCTACACTGAGCATTCCAAACACTTCTCTGCAAAGAGGAAACTTCTCTCTCTTAAGCAAACAAAACCAATTCACTCTGTTTAGTTACTTCTCACCTACAGAAAATAAATCCCTGACTAATGCTGACTATGTACAAATGTAAGATAGAGGAGAGGTCATGATGATTTGGAACATCTATCCCAGCACAAAATGGTAATATGCCTTCTATTTTCATTACTTGGTACCGTGCTACTTAAATATAATTGTAGCGGCTGAGAAGCTCACTCAGTTTAAAGAACACTACTATGCCAATCCCATTTTTATTCTAATATTTTCTGGTTTTCTACTTTTAACACCTTGCCACTTTACATAAGTCACATCAGCTAATTCAGCTTTAATCTGTTACAAGCTTCTTTGCCTTGCTTAGTGTATATTCCTTCAAGGCACTTCTGCTGAATTATCTCTGGACATCTGGATTGGTTTTTTTTTCTTTCAAAAATGTTTCCCTGAACTTGAGAAATACACACCCAAGACAAGTGTAACAGACAGTGAATGAAGTGTGGCACCAGAAGGCAAACTGCCCTCTGCACTCCTGACTGCTTTCTTTGGACAACTGAATGGATTTCAAAAAGTCAATACAGCATACGTTCCCATGCACCTTCCTGCCTATTTAATCTACGTGGTTAATATAGTTGTAGCTATCACCTGCAGTTACAGTACAGCAGGCTGTCTCCTTAATGTCCTTCCTCTATGCATACTTCATTGCTTGGTAGCTGAAAATGATCCTCATCCTATCAGTCCTCACTGTTGGTACCTGTTACATTGATGTGTTCCATACTTGGCAACAAAATAAGCTTAATAATTTATTTACAGCTAGAAGCACAGAAGGGCAGGGCATCAGAAGAGTCACCACTGCAATGTATTGTCTTTTAGGAGGTGCCTAGTCCTCAGGTGGAACATATCCCACGGGAACTGTATCCATATGGCACA